TGGCTGAATTCCATGAAAGAAGAACTTGAGGCTATTGAAAGAAACAAGACTTGGAAGCTGACTGAACTTCCAAAAGGAAAGAAAGCCATCAGCGTCAGATGGGTTTTCAAGCAGAAGCTAAAGCCAGATGGATTAATTGGCAAACACAAAGCGAGACTAGTGGCCAGAGGTTTTCTTCAGAAACCTGGACTAGATTACTTTGAGGTGTTTGCGCCTGTAGCTAGACACGAAACAATCAGACTGGTGATTGCTTTAGCTGCAAATAAAAATTGGCCTTTGATACATCTGGATTTGAAGTCTGCATTTCTGAACGATCCATTACAGGAAGAAGTTTATGTGTCACAACCTCCTGGATTTGTGAAAAAGAATCAGAAAGGGATGGTATACAGGTTAAATAAAGCTCTGTATGGACTGAAGCAAGCGCCCAGAGCTTGGAATTTAAAGATTGATTCGTTTTTCAAGGAACAAGGGTTTCAGAAGTGTGAGATGGAGTATGGTGTTTATGTTCAGCATACTTCAGAAGGTAATATGATTCTGGTATGTTTGTATGTTGATGACATATTACTCACAGAAAGTTCTGAACAAGAAACAGCTGAGTTCAAGAAAGTTCTGATGAATGTGTTTGAGATGACAGATCTTAGAAAAATGAGTTTGTTTCTAGGAATGGAATTTATATACTCTGATAAAGGAATCATTTTACATCAGAAGAAGTATGAACTAGAGCTTCTGAAGAGATTTGAGCTAGCAAATTGCAAGGTTGCTATCACACCTGCTGATACGAATCAGAAGTTGGACTCTGATTCTGATGGAGAGGGTGTGGATGCTACAACCTTCAAACAGATGGTTGGTTCTCTGAGATATTTGTGTAATACCAGACCTGATATTTGCTATGCAGTTGGAATGGTCAGCAGATACATGAGCAAACCAAAGTGGTCTCATTACCAAGCTGCTGTCAGGATTCTGAGGTATGTAAAAGGAACTCTGAAATATGGAGTGTTATTTCCTTTTGAAGAAAAGATCAAATCAGAACTTCTGAGTTATTCTGATTTTGATTGGTGTGGAGATAGAGTTGACAGAAGAAGTACTTTGGGTACTTGTTCAAGTTTCTGAGAGGTCAAATTTCTTGGAGTTCCAAGAAACAGCCTGTTGTGGCTTTATCAACATGTGAAGCTGAATACATTGCAGGTGCTGTAGCTGATTGTCAAGCAGTTTGGCTTCTGAATCTCCTGCATGATCTGAAGGTTGAAGTTGAGGAACCTCTGAAGCTGATGATTGATAATAAGTCTGCAATTAATCTTGCCAAGAATCCAGTGCTACATGGAAGAAGCAAGCACATTGAGATGAAGTATCACTTTCTCAGAAGTCAAGTGCAGAAAGGAGTGTTAGAGGTTCTGCACTGTAGCACTCAGAAGCAGCTGGAAGATGTTCTGACAAAGGCGATAAAAACAGATCAATTTCTTCGCTTGAGAGATGAAATTGATGTTGTTAACTTCTGATAGTTACTAAATTACGGGATGGTATTAGAGGGTAATTTAGTATTTGTCATTTGTTGGATATTCTCTTTAGGCCCTATGTGGCATTCTTATCTTTACTATTTTTGTGTATAAATAGGTGTACTAGGTTTACATTTAATACAATCAATTCTCTTCAATCATTTGTGACAGTTTTTAGCATTTATTCCTTTTCTCTCTTCTACCTCAATTTCATCACCTTGCACTAACAGTTAGTCGACAAAAGTAGTGGTTTGTAGTTGACTAGTGGTAGTTTACGATGGTTAGAGTGGTAGTCGGTAATGATGACTCTTGGGAACTGTGATCAATGATATAGTTGACTATGATCATTGTTATAGTTGGTAGTGAACAAAATAATGGTTGACAATGGTTAGAAATGTAATTAGATTAGAGATCATAAGTTGGTAATGTGGTAATAAAAAATATAGGAAAAAACTAATATGTATTTGCATAAGGGAATAAATTATTTATAGAAATATTTTTTTTGGAAATACATGCATAAAATATTTTAAAATTTTAAATATAATTTTATTATTTTAAATTTTTCTAATTATAATATCTTTAATATATATTCTTAGAATACATGTTAACGTGACTTAAAAAGATAATCAAAATAATAATTAAATAATGGTCATAAAAATCAATCTAAATAAAAAATCGAAAATCGATCAAAAAAACCGAAAACCATAAAAAACCGAAAGTTATTGATTGTGTTTGGATGTTATTTTATGAAAACCGATCGGTTTGGATTGAATTTCGGATGAATTTTTCAAAACCGATCCAAACCAAACCGAACCGCATAAATATATTTTGATACTTATTTACTTTTTATTAGTATGACATGTTATGTGAATTTATTATTAGATGATAATAATTTTTTTAATAATATTTATTAGTTTGATATAATCTATTTATTTTTATTATTTCAAACATAATCAATCACACTCATTTTGTAGTATTAACTTTTAATATACTATATGTTATATATTATATCAAATCTATGATTTATTAATAGTTTTATAATATTAATAAAAATATAATGTGTAATTTGGATATCCAAAAACCGATCCAAATTAAACTGCATAAAATTGAATCGGATCAGATTGGATTTTTTTAAAATATCATCCAAAACCGAACCGAACCTTAAGTGAATTAATCTTTGAATCGGATGAGTTTTTGCTTTAAAACTGATCCAAACCGAACCGCGAACACCCCTATATATATATATATATCAACACTCTTCCTCAAGCTTGATCATACAAGTCAAATGCACCAAACTTGTCACATATATAATTAGTTCTGAGATTTCGCAGAGACTTGGTAAACACATTTGTCAATTGATCATTATAATTGACAAACTTTGTGACGATGTCACCTGATTCAATATTCTCTCTGACAAAGTGATAGTCTATCTCAATATGTTTGGTCCTCTCATGGAAGACTGAATTTGAAACAATGTGCAACGCAACTTGATTATCACACACATGTGTCATTGGTCTTGCTTCTTCAACTTGAAGTTCCTTGAGTAACTGTTTTAACCAAATAAGTTCACATGTTGTCATTGCCATGGCCTAATACTCTGTCTCAACGCTTAATCTTACAACTACGTTTTGTTTCTTATTTTTCCAGGATATAAGGTTTCCTCCAACAAGTACACAATATCCAAAGGTGGATCGTCTATCAATGGGTGATCCTCCTCAATCAGCATCAGAGTATCCAACTATCTGAGTATGTCCTTTATCTTCATACACAAGACCTTTTCCTGGAGCACATTTGATGTATCTCAGAATTCAGATAACAACATCCATGTGTTCTTGATAGGGAAAATTTAAGAATTGACTTACCACACTGACTGCAAAAGAAATGTTCGGACGAGTGACTGTGAGATAATTCAGTTTTCCAACCAATCTCCTATATCTTCATGGACCAGATAAAGGCTCCCCTTGATTGAGTAGGAGTTTGACACTTGGATCCATAGGAGTAGCAGCCGGTTTAGCATTCAACAATCATGTTTCTTCCAAAATATCCATAGCATACTTCCATTGAGAAATTACTAAACCATCTTTAGATTGGACCACCTCAATACCCAAAAAATATAGGAGTTTACCGAGATCTTTTGTCTGAAATTGATTCGCAAGATGTTGTTTTAACAAGAGTATTCCTTGTTGATCACTACCAGTTATAACAATATCATCAACATAGACAATAAGATAGATACACCCTTGAGCTGAGTGATGATAAAAAAGCATAATGGTCAACTTCGCTACAGACCATATCAAATTGTTGTACTACTGTGCTGAATATGTCAAACCAAGCCACTTTTGTGGTAAGGTGATCTTCAAATCCTTGACCTTGAAACCACATCTTGACCGCATCTGCCCAAATGTTATAGTTGGCTGTCCCCGTTAATTTTTCACATGAGATAAGCAAAACTTTGGTAAACGCTTCTCCCATTGCTCGACAATTAAAAGAAGAAAAAAAACATATTTTTCACAGGCGAAAAATATGGGAAAACGGATATGGAGTCATAATTATGGGGCGGTTAGATCACCAGGAAAAGAAAAAAAAATCGTGAACAGTGACGGCGTATGAACAGTGACGGTGCGATGGACAGTTACAAATTTTTTTATTAGGTGAGGCAAACCTAAATAATGATATAGTTTGCCTTAGGAAAATTTCTCACCGGATAGCGTACGGTGAAGATTTGTCTCTTAATAGACTCTTGATACCATATTAAAATATGAAAAACTAAGACATTTGATAAAACCATATGACTGAATGGCATTACGGAAATTGCATTATATAGGAAATTATACAACTTATTTGAATATCCTATTCTATTCTAGAACATTCTATAGAATATTCCTTAATATATTCTAGAATAGAATAAGATATTCTCATTTGCAATTAATGCAATAAGTTATATATATATATATATATATATATATATATATATATATATATATATATATATATATATATATATATATATATATATATATATATATATATATATATATATATATATATATATATATCACGATGAGTTACATCATGGTCCTGGATATTAGTGACCAGTAACATCTGTGGACATATGGCGCAACGCCAGTACAACATTCAGTATCAAGTATTCAACCAGATCAGTTATTATATCACACAATGCTTTGTATCGAATATTCATACACGGTCCTAACAGATCATCAACAAAATCACAAGCTTAACAAGGAATGAAAGAAATAACATCTGCTAGTCTACAAAATCACAATACAACAAGAATGAACCAATCCTTTTCGCAACCTGTCCTCATATACATACTGATATCCGCCCAACCCTTATATATCTAGAAAAATGAAGGATTCATTTGAATAAAACCATTGGAGGCTGCAAAATATAATATACATTTACAAGTACACATACACATTCAATATCTTCTTGAGCCAGAAACTGTGATAATGCATCATATAATGTACCTCCTATACATAGACTGCATTATTTCTTATCTGTTGTAACGCCGACAACAACATTGCTCACCTGTGACATATGCCAAATTCGTTGTAATTTTATTTAAATCTTGCTATGCTCAAAAGTAACAACAGAATCAGTAAAATAAGTGGAAAATGACATCAAAAATATCAATGAAAAGCAGTAATAATTACCAATTTCCCACTTGAATCAACAGACATTGGATTTTCTACCACCACAGTTTGGCTCTGAGATTGGGGCATTGACCGCAAGTGGTAAAATAGAATCGCATGCATGTTCGTTAGATGATCAGAACAGAAAACAGCCGTGATATCTTTTATATGAATAATCAACAAAACCAAAGTTAGAAAAAGAGCTTACTGTTGAAGTAGAAGGTAATGTTCCCAAGTTGGTTGTCCCCTGAGGTCTATTAGCAGGAACTTGAACCCTTCCATTCGACATCTATAAAAGAAAGGAAAGAGGAGCAAAAACACAGATTATAAGTAGAACGATGTGATAGGTCTACCGGACCACGTTATGAAAATAAGTAGAACGATGAGAACATGAATGGTTAATTGATAAAATGATGACTAATAAGTAATACCAGAAGAGTTGAATATATCTCCAAAAAATAAGTTATAAAATATAAATACATATATGTAACACATCTTTCTCAAGTCATAGAATTAGTTACGAAGTAGCTATAGAATTAATTTGGTGGTTGTAGTAGTAAAGGTTTGGGGAATTGAACAGTTAAGAATCACATGACTGCATGAAGTTACCTTAGTTGACATTAAAATGGAGTCCGGATCATGGGATAAAAAAATTGCTTGAATTTTGTATTAAAACTTTTGAAGCAATGTTGAGAATAAAATGTCAACACCTATATTAACAAAACTCTGTCAAAATACTTACATTATTGATATTAGTAATATAGTGACAAACAGCACATTTGACTGAAGGAGCTCCATAAGGATACATGAGTGTTGTCCGGCAGTTAGCGCAGGGGACATGGGCGACTTGATTAGATACTGGTCAATGCAGAAACACAGATCATCAACGAAAAATCAATAAACAACTAATTGAATAATAAGCATACGATGGCACAATATAAAATGGAATTCTTTATTGGAATGATATGAAGAAAACAGAACCAGTTAAAGCAAAACTACATAACCACCCAACATCTTGTAGTGTGATCAAATAAGATTCTGTACATACAATACAAGGCCCTTACGGTAGAGTTTTGAAGAGAAATAAAGTGAATAGCACTCAAGACACACTGTCACCGAGATTAAAATAGTCTTTAATGAAACACCGACCTTGGATTAAATAATTCAAATTATCAAGAGCAGAATCAAAGAACGACAGCCAGATTTAACTATGAAAATATATTTTCCATGTCTCAGTCCAGTTTAGCATGTAGTTGGTTATAAATGGAATAATATCTACTTGTCAATTATAATAACACAACCATGTTTTTATATTTTTCATGGTTTAAGATGATTCTTCTCCAGACTGTAAGAAAAATAGATGACGCAAGGAAAAAAGTAAAGAATCAAAACATTCCTAGATTTGGCCTATTCAACAAGATTTTTAATAAGGAAGAAGACACAGAGGCTCTATTTATTTCAAATAGAATCAGTTCCTGAGTGTGGCGTCTGATTAATATCCTTTCAAAGCTATACAAAAAGTTGGTCCGCCTCTTCTCTGGAACTTGAGATAGAGTAAGAAAATTTGTCTCCAAATTTACAAAAATGTTAGCAACTTTTTTCGTTTGAAAACTAAGCCATGAAATATTCTCATCATTTTCCCTCTTTGTACTTCACTTGTGCTCCTTTAATGGTCTCCAAATTTCAACATGCATTCACCAGCATAGGAGCCTGGCTGCCATCTTTTCTGAAAAGCATTTCAGCAAAACCCAACCTCATTTCAGTCATTGGAGCCAGTGGGTTTGCAGGGTTTGATCCCAACCCAACAGTACAGATATATTGGGTTTTCTTTAGATAAAACTTACTGTTATAAGCTTCATTAGCTTTGCAGAAAAGGATAAGGAATTACACACAATTCACAACATCGACATGAACGCCGGTAACAGCCAAACCGCATTTAGCAAAGCTAATACAAACACCGTCAATGATCACAAAAACCAGGAGCAAAGTAAAAAACAACCACATTTAAAAGTCATTCTAATCCAAGAATAGAAAAGAGGCTGCATCATCTATAAAGCGTAGGTGAGAAACCACCATGCCCTTGGGTCCAACAACCAAACCCTTCACTACCGCTTATCCAAATTCAGTTCAAAACATACACTCAATGGTACATAAGAAATAATGACCTTAATTTACCCCGGTAACCCATATACGAGGATTTGGCAATATTGCAACAACACATCACAATTACAAAATACAAAATATTAAGCAGAATTAATATTGGACAAATTGGTTAAGGGTTCATTAGCAATACTAACTTAACTAACACACTAAACATCATCTATCTAGCAAGTAGAAAAAAAGAAATATACATTACCTGGAGCAAGGTTTACAGTGTGACAACAAGAACATCTAACACTTGTAGCTCCACGTGTGTACATTAGCAATGTCCTACAGCCTCCACAATAAAGTTGAGACATATCCATCCCTGCAAGAGCACCATTATCGTAAACATCCTAAGAAATCAACTTCTTTTCTGACGACACGAAACTATCTAACCTAGTAGGCTGCAAAATTTATATCTAGCTTAAACTTCCAAATATGTTTTTGTTAAGAGTCTCGCATCAGACAATATATGGCATGATCACATCAAACTCTAATAGTTCTAAATTGAATCATTTGCAAATAAATACTCTAATTAGAGTACGATGCAGCACAAGATGCACTTACATATAGCGAAAACTAATTTAGTCCTATTATTTTAAAATTTCAATAACAAAACGAACCACGGAGCTTACCGGGCGGAGGAACCGGGGAAATTGTATTGCACAATGCACAACAAACATTGGTTGCCCCTCTAGGGTAAAGCAGCATGTTCCTACAACCATTACACACAAGTTGACTCTGCATAGCTGCAAGATTAAACAACACCATCACCATAAAACCTTAACCAACCAAAAAACAATTTAGTCAAACATATTAATATTGTAATCGAAACAAAAAGAGTGTCAGGCACAAAACAGCATAAATTCCAATTACTCAATTTGGCAAAAACCGTACATCAAAACGCCTAATCCGTATCCAAATAAAAACAAAAAATGCTCAATTCCCAAAACGTAAAATAAAACAAACCCAGAAAATAAAATTAAAAAGAAAGGATCTAATCATACCGGTGATTCAGAAAACGAAGTCAAACAAGAAAAAAAAAAGTATTTTTATTAATGGTTTTTTTTGGGGGAGAAAACGTGGATATGAAAATTGAAGGTGGATTGAATTGAATGAGAATTGGGAATGGATTGTGTTGGAGAGAAGGAAGATGAGAATTGAAGATTGAAGAAAGGGAAAAGGTAAACTGAACCCTATCTTCCTTGCGACTTCTGCTATCAATACTTTCCTCCCATCTTCCTCTCTACTCCGTCATCTTGCATAGTCATTTGGAAATAAAATTGGTTATAATATTAATTACTATGTTTTTTTTATTTACTAAATAAACTATTAAGGACCATCATTACATCTTATTCAAATGCTTTTGGGTAATTATTGTCAAATATTAATGGGCTATCTTTTGCTTTAATGGGTTTAAAGGAGATGCATTTTTAATGTAAAAATAAGTTATTTAAAATATAATAAAAATAAAATATTTTTTTTATAAGAAATAATAAATAGGTGTGTATAATTCTTTCAATATTAAAAATGTTTGAATTTATAATATATATTTTTTATATAAATATTATTTTTATTTTAGAATTATTATCAAAAATAATTGTTATATTATTATTTATTATTTTAATCAGTAACTTTACTTTTATGTTAATATTCAATAGTTTGATCAATAACTTTGTTTTCTGTTAATATTCAATATGTTAATCAGTAATTTCATATTTCTGTTAATATTCAATAGTTAACTGCGTGTTCTCATTAATATTCAAAATTTTGATCATTAACTTCGTATTCTCGTTAATATTCAATATTTTAATCAATAACTTAGGGTTTTCGTTAATATTCAATATTTTGATCAGATACTCTATATTTTCGTTAATATTAAATATTTTGATTAGTAATTTTATGATGTCTTTAATATTTAATATTTTGATCAATAACTTAATATTCTCGTTAATATTCAATAGTTTGATCAATAACGACATGTTACTGTTAAAATATTCAATATTTTAATTAGTAAATTCATATTTTTATTATTATTCAATATTTTTATAGTAATTTCATGTTTCCGTTAATATTTAATATTTTGACCAATAATTAAACATTATTTTTAATATTCAATATTTTGATTAGTAACTTAACATTCTCGTTAATATTCAATATTTTGATTAGTAACTTCATGTTCATGTTAATATTCCATATTTTGATCAATAACTTTATATTCTCGTTAATATTCAATAGTTTGATCATTAAATTCATGTTCCAGTTAATATTTATTATTTTGATCAATAACTTTATGTTCTCGTTAAATATCATTTTTTATCAATAACTTCATATTTCTGTTAATATTCAATATTTTGATTATATTTTTAAAAGAAAGCGATATTTTTAAAATAAATAAAAAAATTTACCAAAATTATTTTAAATCAATAATATATATTTGGATTTTTCATATATTATCTTGAAAATGTCCATATCTTGAGTTATAAATAATTGCAAAAATAAAAATATTAGATATATAAATAATTAAAAAAACATATGTGCGTACCATATTAAAAACATGTTAATATTTAAAAATTAAATAATAAGTTAAAATGTTAATTAACAATAATTTATAATGATCTTATTTTACTTTTTTTTCAAAAGAAAGTGTTATAATGATGATAAATAAATTTATTTATTTAAAAACTTAAAATTGAGATAGTAAGTTGATTTAAACTACTATAATAAATAATAAATTGTAATAAAAAATATTATAATTAAAAATTATCAACCATAAAAAATTTACTCAAATTAATTATATTAGTAATTTAATTAATTTAGAATATTTAAACCAGTAGCTACAATATTGAATCAAAAGGAACATGAGAGATATTAGAGAGGCTTTAGAACATTATTTTTATATGATTAATTATAAGGCATGGTTTTTCTATTAAAATCAAACTTATTTCGGTGTATATGAGAAATGTGAGTTGGCCATCTTTCATCTTATTTTTATACGATTACTAATAAGGCATCGCTATATCCTGATTATGATAATATTTATAGTGTAATTTAAACATGTAAACATGTAAACATGTAAACATTAATATGACACTAACACGTCGATCTCGATAGTAATTTGATACAAAAGAATAATTGAATGTAATCATGTGTCAGCATAAACACAGACAAATACACCAACATATATTAGATAGAATATATACATATCTTTTACATGAAGTGTCGGTGTTACATAGTGTATAAGTATTTTAAGTTCTGTTAGTATAAAAAATTACCCACATAGTATAATCAGTAGAGGATTAAGTTAGTACTCGTTCTGATAAGATTCTACGTATCGAAGTATCTTGTAAACCTGTAGAAAAACAAAAATTCATGTTTGTTTAGCTGGAAAGCCCAATGTGTATGGTTAGTGCTGAGAATTGAAAAATTCATGTTTGTTTACCCGCATAGTATGCATTCTCGATTAAGGTCTCAAAAACATTGAAATGTTTTTATAGTATTAGCATAACCATACTTAAAAACCAAAGTAAACAAAACACTTCATTAAACAAAATTAATTCCCATAAATACAATAAAATTATGGTAGTTGATGTTTCATGATGCACCGATCATAACAACTACTATTTGCATATTATCGTTGCTTCCTTTCCAGTCCGACTCATGTGTCATAGTTGCAACCACGAACCTCATATGTATGTTTATCAATGAGAAACTTATCTGCAAACACACATTTCAACAATGTTTTATGTAAGCCACACAAGTAATATACAAAAGATAGTTTCTATTCAATAATAACAACTCTTAATGGAATACCAGATATTCAAGTTTCCTAGGAATATCCAATTTTGAAAGTAAGAATGGAGGACAGTAGGATATACCGTGTACAAAAGTGCTATTACTAATACCTGAAACATGCACAGACAACAACTAACCATTATAAATATGTTCAATTTTAGCAAAATATCAAGAGAAGTCCTAGAGCTTGGTTTAGTAGAATCAATTATGATCTTCAAGATTTTGGCATTGTGGTTTACAAAACCCAATCTTGCTAATCTAAAGTATGGAAGCTTTGCATTCCACTACTCATGAAGAATATTTGAAGATTTGAAATCTCTGAAAATTATCTAATATCTCTCACAAACAGTTAGTCTAATTGATGCTATTCCTCCTGATCTGACCTGATCAGAAGGTTTGGACCGTCACGGCTTACTCCGAGCTGAAGGCTTTTTGAACGAGGAGGGGGGGGTACCTGCAAGGCACTCCGATGCTAAAGTCAGTGGGAGTACTAGCAGATAATAGAGTTGAGGTTAGAATGATGAATACCTGACCCTCTGGAAGCAGAGGGTATTTATAGCCCCCAGCGCTGGGCCAAGGTTCCTTCATTGGGCCGGGCGGATTTGGCCCAATGGAGGAACTGCCAGGTTCTACGTGGGTAGTGGGGACCAGCACGTGGTCCCCTTCCTGGATATGCTGCATGAAGTGCGGGCGGACGGAGACGCGGTCTTTCCGGAGTATCGTTGGGGCACTGGAGGACTAAGTCTGCCCTAGCAAGTCAGCTCGAGACCATGTCGAGCTACGCGACACGGTGCCGAGCTCGACGCCAAGACCTCGAGCTGGACAGCGAGGGTCGAGCTGGAAGCCAGGACATAGAGCTGGACGGCATGCTGTCGAGCGGGACTTCATCGTGGGGCTAGACACCGATATGTCGAGGTGGACATCAGGGTGTCGGGCATGGACGTGACCCCCTTCGCCCAGTGTGGTCCTTAGTGAGTCCCTTTGGACTGGGCCTTAGTAATGCTTTTGGGCCTGTCGGGCCCAGTCCAGAACAGGAGCCCCCCAAGTCGTGGTTCCTTTGCGAGGAGCCATGACTTGAAACAGTTGTTCCGTCGCTGAGGTCTCGTGCCCGGGATGGAGGCGTGGACCCTCGAGGGGTCTCCTCGTGCCGTGCTCGGAGACGTCGTCGGTGGTGGATGCGTGGAGGATCCGTACCGGGCGCGTCAGTCGAGCACACGAGGCATCTTTCGGGAGTTATGCCGCCACCCTAGGGGGGTAGGGCCATCATTGCGTTGGGTGCAGTGCGTCGAGGAGATGGAGTCCGTGGCTGAACGAGGTGACGTTTGGTATTCCACGTCATCACTATAAATAGGGTCCTTGGGCCCCATAATATGTTTTCCGTTCTCCGTGCTCTCTTCGTTGCAACTCTCAACACTCTCTCCAATCGTGACTTCCCGTCTCAGATTCTTCATTTCTTAGCCAAATCCCAACTTTGATCCAAGTAAGTGATCCATTTTCTTTATTTTCCTGTTTTAGAATGCATGATTCTTGGAAATTGTAGATGTTTTAGGACCGTTAATGTGGGGTTAGCCCGGTAAACTCGTGTTTTGCCCGACAGATTCATGTCTAGGGCCGGCAAACGCATACTTGTGGCCGGCACATTCATAGTTTTAGGTGAAAAACTTCAGAGTTGCCCGGGGTCTTCATGATCCTGGGCGCCTGATTCATGACGGTGCCCGGTATGTCTATGGTTGTGGCCGTGGGCTTCACAATGCGGCTCGCCATGTTCATACCTCGGATCGACATGCTTGAAGAGTGGCCGCGCAGTTGGTTTGTGGAAGAACACTGGATTCAGGAGAGTCGGGGAGGCATCCACTTGTGAAAATGGACTTGTGTGGTAGTGTATGGACGACATGATTATGTCGAGAATAGGACTTCATGCTCAATCTGATTGGTTTCCCGTGCTCTGCAGG